TGTGTGTGTGTGTGTGTGTGTGTGTGTGTGTGTGTGTGTGTGTGTGTAATGATCTAAATTTCCTGGATAGGCCAGGAAATACATGGCCACATCCATAATGCTATGTGGACTAACCAGCCTCCCAACAGTGTATCTGTGTGTCAATAGAGGTACCAGTTTCCAAGACACCTCTAAGTGGAGGGGAAGAAAAGGAGAAGTTACCTTCCTAAAAGCTGACCCACGCATCCATGTTTGAACCTGTTTTGATTATCTTCACAAAGGGTAAGAAACAAACCTCCAGGAGCAAGGGCTGGAGTCCGAGGCCGGAGGCAAGCCACTTTTCTTCCAGGCGGCCCAAATTTCCTCCTGACAGGTCTGTGGTTCTGAAGGAGGGTGAGAGGAACTGGAGAGACCCTATCTTACACATGTACACACAAACACACGCGCTAACATACTTGTACACACATGCACACTCACGTACTGGTACACACTCACATACACACACTCATACACATGTCAACTGTAGTAGAATGGTGGAGCTGTGGAGCCCCTGGTCTTCTGAAGGCCACAGCATGGGCTAAACCTGCCTGCTGGCTCCTGTGCCCTGTGAAGCTGGAATTCCTTTGCTGCTGTAGCTGGGTGGGAGGAATCCAGGGTTCTGCCAGTGAGTGCAGATCATGGAGATTCCATGGATGAAAAGGGGTTCTAGACTCAGAGACTCAGATCACAGCTACTCATTGCACACAGGATACATATCCAAAGGTGTTCAGAGGCAGGTGAGAAGTGAGAAGAAAGCCCTTGAGCAAGGGCCTAGAGTTTCAAGAGGCTGAGGACCCAGGTGTGGACCAGGAGGGGCAAACTACTTGGAGAAGCAGGGGAACTGGTAGAACCTCACTATCAGACTTGAGTCGTCAGAGGTAGAGCAGAGCTCGAAAGGAGGGCAGGGAAGAGGGGCTCTGAGACCAGAGGAGCAACTAGAAAGAACTGAAGGAGGGGTGTCTGGCGAGCCTGCTGGCTTCATGCCAGCAACCCATATAGTCACCTGTGCTTACAACTGCAGTTGTCATCTTGAAATTCTCAGTGGTTTCTCCTTTGTCCGTATAGCAGGACAAAGGTGCATAGGCAAGAATAACAGCCAGCGTGCAGAGGACACAGAGTGCATTGGGCTTGGCTCCATGTGTAAAAAGCCCCATTGAGATACAGGTAGAACAGAGCTCTGGCTCCCAGAACACAAGGCCTTCTGGGAAACTCAAGCAGCCAGGAAACCCTGACCAGTCCTTTCCTGGTGGCCTTCATTCTGTGCCAGCAAAGGCGGAAAGAGGAACAGGGGTAGAAGCAGAGCGTTGGCAGAGCATAGGTATGACTTAGACTCAAATAACACAAGCACGGCAGTGGCCGAAATGTGGCTAGATAGGACGAGCACATGTTTCTGTGCCTGACAGGACTGAAGAAGCACCGACAGTGACCACAAGGCAGATAAACTCTCAAAGCATGCTCAGTAAGAAAAGCACACTTGCACTCAACAGGCTTGCGTCCTGTCAGGTCCCGTTTGCATGACATGGCCAGAACAGACAAATGCAGAAACAGAAAGCAGAGTGGTGGTTGCCAAGGTCTGGCAGCCCAGGGAACTTATGAGAGGCACAGGCTTTCCTTTGGGGCTGGTAGAAATGGCCTGAAATGAGAGAGCGAGGATACCGCCTTACAGAGCTTCCCTGGAGACCTTTTTTTCAAAGCTGAGAGGCCACAGGCCACCACTGAAAAACTCTGGCCAGACAAAGGAGTGTGGGCCGCACCACAGGCTGGCACTCACACTCTGGGTGTCACCTGGGTCGTTACATCCACTTTCCTACAGGAGAAATCAAGGAAATGTCCTCGGAGCACTAGGGGCACGGTGCCCAGCAGTACATCCCATCCTGGCCCATGACACACTTGGAACAGTATGGGGCCCTTCTGGGAAGTGACTTTTTAGTGAGTCCTGTACAGGCAGATCCTTTTCATGCTGTACTCTCTCCTCTCTGCAAGGAGCAAATGCCTCCTCTTTCGTATAGAAAAGTTTAGGAAACTCCAGAAAAGCACCAAGAGCAGAGTAAGTTGCCCTCTGAGATGGCCCCAACCCCTGAGGCTTGCTCGACACCTCCTGCCTTGTTTCCCAATGTGATTTTGTACAAACCCGTAGCTCATAATTTCCTTCGTCTGTGAAGGGTTCCAACCAACCATTCAAAGTGACACTTGTCACCTTCGTTAAAGGTCCTATTTCTTCCTTCTCTGCCCCTTAATTCTCTTCCTTTTCAAAATAATGAGTATTGCTTTTTAATGGAAAAAAATACTAATCTCTCTCACGAAGGACTTTTTTAAAAACTGTGGCCTCCATTGTGGCGCTTGCTCCTGGCAGCCTGGTCCTGCTCTGTCTGTGTGTCCAAGAAGGAAGTGTTTTAGCCCATCTAGGACTCTGCCAGCCTGCCCCACCCCCTCTCTGAAGTCTTCCTCCTGTAGGTCCTTTAAATGCATCCCAGGCACCCAGGCTTCACCTGCCTGCCACCATCAGTCAGTCAGTCAGTCACCTGCCTGCCACCATCACCATGCGTTGCTTCACCGGCCTCATTCTCGGCCTGCTGGCCCTGGAGGTGGCCCTTGCTCAGAACCGACAGGAAAATGTCTTCAACTTAGGTAGGCCCCAGCTCTTCACCTTACTGTTGGGTGTGGCTTGGAGAGTCGTCGCCCTGTGTGTCCCCCCCCTTTCCCCCCTCCTGCTCTCTATGCCCAGGGTGCTGAAGAGGTAAGGAACTAAAGGGCTCCCCCTTGGGGAAAATCCAAGGATGGCAGGAAGTCAGGGCCCTGTCCCACACAGAGCTGCATAGCCAAGGCTAGGGCCCTGGGTGGAATGTCCAGATTGAGAGATGGGTTGATAAGAGTTGCCCTCAGGCCCTAGTCAATTTTATAATCAGATTTTTTTTTCCTGGGGTGGGGGTGGGGTGTTCAAGACAAGGTTTTTCTGTGGAACAGAGCCCTGCCAAATTTTTGTTGTTTTGTGTTTGTTTTTTGAGACAAGAGTTTCTCTGTGTAACCCTAGTTGTCCTGGCCTTGAACTCCCAGAGTTCCGCCTGCCTCTGCCTCCCGAGTGCTGATATTATAATCAGATTCTTAATGTTCTGCTTGTGGCCATGAGCCTGCAGCATGCCTCCTAATTTTCACAGCTTCCCTCTCAGGCTTCTATCGCCCAAATCACAATTCTGGCAGGTTTGGTTTGGTTTTCACCTCAAAGGCATCTCAAAAACTGGGCTCATTGTCATTTCTATCCACGTCTCCAGGCCTTCTTCTGAGAAGCCTTAGAAGTGGGGATGACATCAAGGCCCCCATTTATCTCTCCATTTTTTGTGCAGTTCAGTCCCTGTGTTCTAAAGCCAGCATCAGTGAAAGCACCGAGTGTATCAACAACCAGGAGTGTATCAATGCCTGTCGCAACAGTGAGGAGTGTATCAACGCCTGTCGCAACAGTGAGTGTATCAACGCCTGTCGCAACAGTGAGGAGTGTATCAACGCCTGTCGCAACAGTGAGTGTCTCAATGCCTGTCGCAACAGTGAGGAGTGTATCAATGCCTGTAGCACTAGTGAGGAGTGTATCAACACCTGTCGCAACAGTGAGTGTCTCAATGCCTGTCTCAACAATGAGTGTATCAATGCCTGTTGCAAAAGTAAGGAGTGTGCCCAGAATCCCATGTGTTGCTCTGGTTCCTGCAGCGGTACCTGCAAAACTTCCATCAACAGTAAGGCCCTGCCCAGTCCTGGTGGTGGGGAGGAGCCAGCAGGGTCAAGAGTCTGCCTGAAGAGGCCACATAGACCTTTACACCCACACATCAAGTCTGTGAGACCCACTCACCTACCAGGCCCTCCCTGCAGCCTGACCCCCAACCTGGTCCCTGAGGTCTCTGGGCCACCAACAGTGCTGCCTGACAACCAGAGGAAAGACCTCAGCAAATGACCCACCCACAAAATGGGGTCTTTTCAGTCAGGGGTTCAGTAAGGTGGATCCCGCACAGCTGGGATGTGAAAGGTAAGAAAGTGACCTTCTCTCCCCAGCTGATGTCCCAAAAGTTGGCTGCTGCCCCTGGAATCCACGCCTGGTGATCCCTAATGAGCCAAACCCAGAGAGCCTGTGCTCCAGGAACAGTGATTGTCCTGACAACATGAAATGCTGCAGCTTCAGCTGTGCCATGAGGTGTGATATCCCACGAGCAGGTACGCAGCCTTTAGACCCTGGAGCCCCATTTCTTTCTAGGCCTCCTCTGGCTATCACCTTACCCCTTCATCAGATCTAAGAACAGCCCTAGGGCTAGGTCCCACGGTAGGAGGGGAATGTCTTGGCCAAGTCATATACATCAGCTACAGGCTTGTGGGTACTTGATATGGCCACTCACAATAGGAATGTCAATGAGCAAGAAGGCCTGGGAAAATGTAGACCATTCTGGCACTCAAAGCTGTTTCTGGGAAATCTATGGCTAAACTGGACCTTTGGCATTTAACCTGAGGGAACAATGAAGTGTTCAAAATTAAGAACATGAGCAAGACATAGGCTCAAATCCAACTGTCCATGTCCTCCTGTGACCTGGGCATCCCTCCTGGAGGTGAGGGTGTCTCCCCACCTGCCTATGGGTGATTGGGGGGCACTGTAAAGAATTGTACATGTGCCAGGGTGTAAAGGTGCATGTTTGTAATCCCAGCACTTGGGGAGTCAGAGGCAGGCAAATCTCTGTAAATTGGAGGCCAGCCTGGTCTACAAAGCAAGTCCAGGATAGTCAAGGCTACACAAAGAAACCTTGTTTCGAAAAAACGAAAACAAAACCAAAAAAAGAATTGTACCATGCTCACCTGCAAAGCCAATAAAGGTGTCTGCCCTGCAGCTCCCTGGAATGATGGATATGGCAAGGTTAAAAGCAGAGGTAACCCTCCCCTCTTTTCATCCCCACCTATATCGCTACAGAGGAATTCCTTCAGTGAGCAGCCTGCCCTGGGGTCCCTGCCTGTCAGGAGTGACCGGCCCATGCCTGTACAGCAAGAACCTTCACTCCTGGATCCGGAGAGAACATAATGCTTTCTATCTGCTGCTAATAAAAATCCATTTGGCTTTATGTCTCTGTATGTCTCTGTCCTGAGCTCCTGAAGGAATGACAAAACAAGACAGGCCTGCATTCCCCTAGGATCTCCAGGGTGGCAAATCAGCCACAGCTGATTCCCTTATGATGATGAGCATGTACAGGAGGGTGGGATGCTGACTCAGGCTTGCTGAGCCACAGCCAAACTCCATCGAGACTGTGAGACCACGGTGGACCTCAGGACCAGGAAAGGCTCCTCACCTGGCTCTAGGGGAATAAGCATCTTTTGCATCTAAACCATTCCAAGGTGTGACCAGCCCCAGAGAAGAAGCTGACCCTGCAAGAGGCTTATCTCAATTAGGGTTTCTATTGCTGCAATGAAACACCGTGACCAAAAACCAAGTTGGGGAGGAAAGGGTTTATTTGCCTTACACTTTCATATTGTTCATCATCAAAGGAAGTCAGGACAGGAACTCAAACTCATGGAGGCAGAAGCTGATGCAGAGGCCATGGAAGATGCTGCTTACTGGCTTGTTCAACCTGCTTACTTATAGAACCCAAGACCACCAGCCTAAGGATGGCACTACCCACAACAGGCTGCCCCCTCCCAATCAATACCTAATTAAGAAAATGCTGCCGGTTGTGGTGGTGCACACCGGTAGGATTTGCTGAAGGAGGCAGAGGCAGGAGGATCATGAGTTCGAGGCCAGCCTGGGCTACACAGTTTTAAATGGGGCTGGAGAGATCGCTCAGTGATTAAGAGCACTGCCTGCTCTTCCAAACGACCGGGGTTCAATTCCCAGCACCCGTATGGCAGCTCACAACTGTCTATAACTCCAGTTCCAAGTGTCTGACACCCTCACACCAATGTCCATAAAATAAAAATTAAATAAATTTAAAAAAAGAAAATGCCTTACTGCTGGATCTTGTGGAAGCCTTTCCTCACTTAAGGTTCTGTCCATTCAGATAACTCTAGTTTGTATGTCAAGTTGACATAAGATTAGCCAGCACAGGGCTTCAAGGCCCTGAAGTCTTAGCCACAGTGGCAGCATGGAGAGAGCAAGACATAGTAATTGAGTGTGCAGGGTAAGGTCGGCCACACCCTGACACAGCTCCCAGCCAGCACTGTGTGTCCTACTCAGGCACCGGCACTTAACTCTCAGCTCATGCCAATCCTGTTACTGTCATCCAGGGTTCACATCAGACTCCACAAGTTAGGGGTTCAGTCCCAACTTCAGATACCAGCTCCAAGTCCAGAGCCTGCCACATTTCCGATTCAGTCACTTTCATTGTCCCCTTTGTAATGAGACACCGTGCCCCCTCCTGTTGGCTATCAGACTACTGAGATGATGGATGTAAAGGGTTGGAATTTCTCCAGGAGTCTCACTCTGGGAGAAAGAAAGGGCTGATTCTCTGGTCCAGTCAGAGGAGGAAATGCCTCTTGCACTAGTTAATTGTTTTTATTTTGGTTTGGTTTTTGTCAACTTGATGCAAGCCACAATCACATAGGAAGAGGAAACTCCACTTGAGATTCTCTCCTGCCGGGTGGCGCATATGCCTTTATTTGCAGCACTGGGATTAAAGCAGAGGCAGGTGGATCTCGGTGGGTGGTGGCCTGGAGATGTACAAAAAAGCAACTCAGGCTGAGCAAGCCAGTAAGGGCATTCCTCCATGGTCTCTGCTTCAGTTCCTGCTTGGAATTCCTGCCCTGACTTCCCCTCAAAATGGAACACAGCTGCAACTGAAATAAGTCCTTTCCTGACCCCAAGTGGCTTTTAATCATGGTCTTCATCACAGCAACACAAACTTCGCAACACGAGATTTCACATAGTGCTGACAACTTACCAGACCACCTTGCCTTTTGGATAGACTGAAGCAGAGACAATGATATAGGTCAGTAATAGGCAGGACCACACCTTGCCCATAGCTGCTCAGCTGTGAATACCTTTTGCCCTCTTTATAAGCCTAAACCTCATTTCAAGACCCCAAAGATAGATGTGGGTAGTCAATGGACCTCTTTGTTTCTGTTCCCAGTGTGGCCACACTGAAGACCTTGCCTTTCTCTGTTTCTCACTACTAAATGATTCTTTAATTGGTGTACTGAGTGTTAGGAAACGTACGAATGTGAAGGTTACACTCGGGTTCACAAATCACACCACGAGATCGGTTCCATGTGGGAGGTTTATTAGGGGAAGGGGGGAGAGGGGAGCAGAGAAAGAGTAAGAGAGTAAGGAACAGAGAAAGGAAGAGAGAGAGGAAGAGAGACGAAGAGAAGAGAGGAAGGGGAGGGCTCCAGTTCTCTTATAGGGTGACCAAGGGCATGCGCAGGTAATTCCAGGTGGTCAGGGTGTCTTCACAAATGCCTGATAACTGGTCTATGGGGCTGGCCATAGAAGTGCCTGCTTACTGATCCCAACATTCCTCCCTTTTTCTATAATTAAAAATAGGGAGCTTGGGCTGCCTTTTATAAGGTAAGTTAAAGTATATAAATTTAGGCTCATTGGAAGCAGCTCTTGGTTGTCATGCAAGAAGAGGTTGAGAGAGAGAAGAGTTATAGTAACAAATGGTCAGGTTGCAAGGTTAAGAATAAGACAAGTCTCTGCCCTGGAAAATTTAGGGTAGAGGGTTGTCAACAGAGAGTTGCCAGCCATGCAAGGCGGCGGGGAAGGACTGGAGAACATTGGGAGAACCTGGAGCTGCTTGTCCTGGTCCTGAAGCATACCACTTCAGCCTTTTGTTAACAACAAGTGAATAACGGGCGTAGATTCTCTTCTGGCTACTTCCTGCTGACACTGGGGGCGATGTAGGGAGGTCAAAAGGCTGAAGTGTCGACCAAGTCCAGGAAGAATAGGCTGCTTTGATGCTTTTCCAGGTCTGTGAGAACACCCATGGCTGGGAGGGAAGGTGCAGGTCCAGCTTGTTGGAAGTCTGTGAGGTCAGAGCTGAACACCTGCAGCTTGTTGGAAGTCCGTGAGGTCGGAGTTGAACACTGTAGCTGCTTTGGCGCTGTTGTGGCTATAGGAAACATCTGTGTCTGGCAGGACACAATTTAGCCAGTGGTTGCATGTAGTAAACGGCAGTCTGGTAGCCAGGAAAGGAAGTCCCAAAACCAGGGAAAGGGGAGGAGTCCCACCTTTTGAGATGGGCAATGAGTGCAGTACTTATCTGGAGTCTAGTTGTCCTGAGAGGTAGATTTAGGTGGACTTTCTGCAGCTTACAAGAATTACTTTTAAGTTTTAAGAAGGAGATAAAACTTTAGACATGTTAGTCTTACAATTGTACTCTGCATTGAGAAAAAGGCAGTAGACATACATATGTGTTAACGGCATAAGTACTTTTTAAGGTGAAGTCTGAAGAGGTAAAAGCCTTTTATGAAATAAAATGGAAACTTGCTTGATTTTAACCACCACAACAGATGAAGAGTCATAGGGTGGGGCAAAGGAGTGGAAGATAGAGGAATGTTTGTCCCTACAGGACAGACATCTACCAAGCACACCAGTTCTCCTAAACATCCATGTCCAGACCTTTTAGGAAAGTCTTATTATATAATCACAATTGATCAAGCCACTGACTGTTGATGACTGAATTCAATCACCAATCCCTCTCTCTTACCTGAAGGTCATGAGTAGAGCTGGGGGTCTAGCTCACTAATCCCATGGTTTTTGTGGTGACCAGCGCCATCTGAACCTACAGAAGCCCCCATATAACCCTTTGAAGCCATAGAAACCACCATCTGAAGCCCCTGGTTGGGAAAATAATAATCTTGGTGCCACACAAAGAAACACATGAAAAAAGCAGAAGTAATTCAAGCAACACAATTTCTTTTTGCAGAGTGAAATGTGTGTCAGAACCCAAACCAGGCTAGAAAACACTCTTGGCCAAAACAGCC